TTACCTGTTAGCTACCAGTAGTTATTGTCTGATGTACAGGTACTACCTGTTAGCTACCGGTAGTTATTGTCTGCCAAACAGGTACTACCTGTTAACTACCGGTAGTTATTGCCTGCTACCTGTAGGTTTTGTCTAGAATTTCATATTTCATCGATTTTTCATTTCCAATTCTTCCCAAACCTTTTCAAATCCATCTCAAACATGTATAAAGATATTTTCAACAATACATATGATTCATGCAAGTCTATTACAACTCATTCCATACTATTTACATGTCAAAATGGAATTTAAACCAAAAGTTTTACAAAAACTCGGTTCAAGAGCCACAACCCAACTCTTCTTCACCTTTGAGGCCCCGAATGTGTGTCATCCACCGGAACATTCCCCATACCTAAAATGTTTCCCGTATAGAGTGAGTCAACGCCAAGTAGAAAATTTCCTACAAGGGTTACTCCCCACTTAAGTGCATATGCAATGTATTATGCAACAAAACACAACCAAAATTCATTTCAATGCAAGAATTATGTAATCCATGTTGGAATTCACCATGGAACTTACCATGTCATGCCATGAATGAAATGAGATTCACTCCCGCATTTTAACCCCGAGCCTTTTTCCGGCTCCTCAACACATGCAAATGTCAATGCATATAAAACTGAGCCCCTCTAGCCCCCGCCATTTATATTATCCTCTAAATGGCTATTTAAAATCTCTGGGTCTTTATATGGGGTGGATATTTATGGACTTATACCAACGGTACCCAACCGACACGAAATTTATGGACTTCTACCAATGGTTCCGCGTACACCGATACACTTATTGGGCTCTTATACCAACGGAGTGCGTATCCAATCACCGGGCCTCTCACCCGAGGGATAGTCTAACCCTTCTTGCTACCCCGACCCAATTTTCCATGCATACAACCGTGTGACTCAATGGAATCTTCAATTTCACTTCCCCGAGCCCATCATCAACCATCATATACGGTGTTCGATTAAACTATACACCACACATACCCACACTCATGCTTAAGCCTATGAATGCGATGTCATAGTATGTCCAAGATGCAATGGATGCCCAATAAGCGAGTTAACCATATAATCACATATCCCATGACAATTCATATCATAAGCATATAAATCTCCTGAATCATTACAATGTCAATATATCAATGAGCACATATTAACATTTCTTTCCAACACATTACTAAGTATGTTATACATCATCATGTTATAACAACTTAATCCACACATAAGCATTTTGGCAAACACCTTCAAGGCAACAATTCATATTATCACACAAGAATTTTCACCTCATTCACAACGTATAATATAAAACATATAGCATGCTCATATAATCACTTTTTCATTGAATTACCAAGCAAGTAATTTCCACATCATAATTTCAAATTAAGAAATTATATTCCAACCCATTACATACTCATTTTTCATACCCATTTCACCCATGTCATATGCATAAATGAATGAAATACATATTCTCCTTTAACCCACACATTTCATATAACACTACAAGTGGAAAATGAACAAAAGTAGGAGAACCTCACCTCTTGAAGCGTAAAATGACGTTGGAAAACTCCAAGAACCCAAAATAATCTTAAATCCTTACTTCTCCAAAATCTCGTTTTTCAACCTTCGGTGAAACCCGTCGTTTTTGGTGTGGTCGTATAACCCTTGGCAATGAGACCGACTTTTTCTCTTGGCCCGAGTGGATCCGAAGCTCGTGGAGTCGTAGATCGTAGAGAGAAGGTGAAGAAATCCTCTCTTTTCCCTCTCTTCTCTATCAGCTAACCGGATGATCAAAAATGGGCCAAAAATTCAGATTTTCCCCTATTTATAGTTTTAGAATACTTGGCCCACAACGCGCCACACGTCCCTTTTTGTTTCCAGATCGATTTTCATCCTAAAACGATTAAATTTCATCCCAGTTCAAATTCAAATTAATTTTATTTTAATTTGCCTTAATTATTTCCCAACTTTCAAATTTTTATTGAAAATCCCGTTTTGGGGTCACCCAAGACTCGATCGCCTCGTAAAACGCGAAAAATCTGACTATCTCAGAATTCGATGAAATTTGACGTGGTAATTAAATTTCGCGAGACAAATCTAACAGTGATGTTCATTTCTTCATCTGAGATCTAGAAAAATTCATGTTTTCAACCCGTACTATAGTGGCAAAATTACCGTTTTGCCCTTATTTACAAAAATTTAAATTTATTGGGTTTTACACTATTTTCTCTTGATCAAAGATATTTTATGGGACATAAATGTCTACAATTTAATGTCAAACGAACTACGGATGTGTGGGTACGAACCCAGTTAAGGGGTTGGTGTTGACGTAATATCGGGTGATTTTATTGAGTATGAATTGATGTATGTTAGACCTCGGATGGGTTATGCAATTAAATATTGTTATATGAGTGTGGATAAATAGACCCGGTGTGGTCAATGTTATATGATGCACAGGTTGTATTTTGGGTAGAGTTCCTCATACAAAAGAGACTATGTCCAAATTTTGTTAGATTAAGGATTCCGGTAAATGGGGCATGACGTGTGATATCAAGGTACATAGTATCCACATGTATTCCGCGGGTTGACGGGTGATCAACGGTTAATAAATGACTCCTAATTTTTGGGGTGTCACAATATACCTATATGTCGTGTGTAACTTTTATGAGAGTTTGAACTTAATGAATCTATTTCATCTTATTTTGCATAGAAATATAATAATTTAATTGAGATAGATAATTTTATCTAACTATCGGAAGAGGTTTGATAAATAACTTTGAGTTCTCAGTTAACAACTTATTTTGATCAATTAACTAGAAAGAGAGTTAGAAAGATTTATACAAAGCATTAGGGGAAGTTGTAATCTTAAGTTCTTTTACCCGATAAATTCAATCCTTAATTATTAAGTTTAGGTTTAGTTTTAAATTAGTAAATTCATAGTTCAATTCCATTTGTTTAAATAAAATTGAATTGATATAAAGTTAGTACTTGAAATTTGTTAGCAATAATTCTTCGTGGGAACGATACTCTACTTATCACTTTATTACTTGTTGACCGTGTATACTTGCACGTAAATTGTCAATACCAAATTTAGACAATACCAATCATCTAGTGATGATTGACAATTGTGGAAGTTAAATTTGTAGCTTACTTTGAGGCTACAATTTATGAATTGTGGATGCAAAATTCTAATTTCAGGACTTGGAGTTGTCAACTTTATGGCTAAGCCGTGGAGAACTTATCGTGATAATTTCGTATATGTGTATTTTGCTAAGTGTTAATAGAGTATAATAGAATGGAGCTCGTGATTGTAAATTCATTAAGAAAAGAACTACTAAAGTCATTTAAAAGTGTTAACATAATGAGTCTTGATTGTAGTTCTGATGGTTATTCACTTAATGTTGTGGATTTTACATAATGGTTATTTATTTGAAACTTTTAGTTCTTATTTGAACTGTTTATGATATTTCTTATTTTTCAACGTACCTACATGTATGAGATTGAATGAATGATAACAAGAATAGCCTTTGGCACAAAACATTTTTGTTGGACCTTATTATATATTTATACTTCTTGATTATAGATCACGTTAAATAGGTTGTTAGTATTGTAGTACATGGAAGGGACTATGTTGCATTAATGATGTAAGATCATCATGACTCACATTAGTGGGTTGTTTAATTGTGATATTATGATAACCAAATTAAGGTGATGATGAATTTGATTTATTGCAATGTTTATATAAACCTTGCTAAACCTAATTGTAAGATAATCATATATGCCAAGTGTGAGAATGTAAGAATTAATGTAGCCCACATAATCTGGCAAATGTGATTTTACTGATTATTATTAGATAATTAGTTTGGGTCAAATGATGATAAGGTTACCAACTTAATCTACCAAGTATAATTAATGTTTTCTGATTGATCAATGAGAAGAAGTAGTTTCTTGATATCCTACTTTGATGGGAATTGGAATTCATGTTGATCTAAAAAATCGGTCCTCTCTCTACCTATAAATGTGCACATTCTCCGTTGATTTGTGTTTCTTACATTAAAAAGTAAGAAGAGAGAAACTGTGTTTCAGACTACACCAAAATATTATTCTTCTTGTTCAAGAAATTAAAGATATGCATTAATGGCTTTAGGTGATATTTTAATTTCACACTCTGAGTATGTGAAAATCATGATTATTCTAAATTTTAGAATTAGGGTTTGATTGATTCATTTTGATCAAATAAAGTTTACGGTTGATACTCATCCGAGTACATTGTCTGAACCATCACCATCCATATGACTGAACTAAGACCTAGTACCTCCACAATCCCACATCCAGATTGCATGTTTGAGCTCTTGGTTGCTGTTTGTAGACTGCGTACTTACATGGATGAGCGGTTCAGTCTGATTCATAAAGACACTAGATTCTATTTATCCAAAAGGAAAATACTATTTGGATATAATAATCTGACATAATTTGCTAACCTAAGACGTGGCTTCATTAGAATCATTAGATAAACACCAAGGTCCAATGTTTGATGGAGCCCACAGTTAATCCAAAAGTTATAGTAAATTAGATCTCAATAACATTGCTCCATCCCAAAATGACCGGTTTAGAGAGAGGACATGAGAAGTCCTCTGGGACTGTAGGAGGACAAAGGGTACGGATGCATTCCTTGGTCAAGCTTTTAACCATTCTGATTGAGAAGGATTTGAGGAGAGCTGAGGATGATAATGCTCAAGGTGATGGACGTGGTGATGATACCGCTGCCTGAGGATGCTACTGTTTCTTAGACGATTAGTACTTTAGGACACTTGCGTGCTGATATATTTTGATCTTATTGTTCTTTGCTATATTGACTACGTTTTAGACCTTAGAGCTTATTATCTTGTTCTCTTTTTCAATGTGGTTATGTATTTGACAATTCGTTATTTTAAAAAAAAAAAATGAGGGACCCGCGCCCACGGGGAGTTTTGGCTTGAGCACAATTTACTTTTTCTTCTACATTGTCTGGCGTGCAAATAACGAGTTCAGAGATGAAACTGGCCAACTCAACATGCTGTGAACCAGTGATTACATAAAACTTAGGGTACTGTAATTATTACAATGCTGTGAACCAGTGATCATACATATTTTTAGATTGGAGATTTACGGACAGAACCAGATCCTGCAATTTGGAGAACGCTTGATTCTCTTAATAAATCAAACGAAGTGAAAGAATGCGCGAGAAGTGTGACATCCATGTCCTTGCCTGCATCCTCCAATAGACTTTTAAATGGCGCCACCTGCAGAAAATGGAAGGAATTCAAAAACAGAACAACAGTATACCTTTACACATATTCCAATTATTTGTGTTAAACAAACCATGGTACATAGGGTAGGGATTGGCGTAAGTCTATCCAAAGCAAATGGATATAACGAACAAACCTAAAAACAGCTTGTAATTTGACAAACAATATGGAAATAGAATGCTTGGATTGACAACAAATACTTTTTATGTCATGTAGCCAGTTAAATAGTTAGGATAAGGCTTTGATGGGTTAGCTGATTTTTTTATTTTTCCGGAATGCATGGGTTCGCTGATCAAATGGAAGAAACATTTGTGTCAGATGCCGAATTCACATAGTGTTTAATCACAGCCTTGGTCAAAGGAATTTACATGTTCCTATTTCTTTTCTCTTCAATATTTATCCGGTGTTGCAGTTGATGCAAGGTATATGATAGCCCGAAAAGCACAAAATATAAAGCTAGAGGATACTTCTAACAAAAGAAGAATCTTGATTTACTATTTAGACTTTATGTGTGTTTATGAACTTATGAAGACTCAATACCTTGTTTGGCTCATTGAAAGAATTCTCATCCATCACATTGCTTGATGTGAGTACAGTTTTTGTTGATCCATATGATTGTATTGAGTTCAGCTCCAATCCATCAATAGAAATCTTTAGGTTCGCAGTGTTGCTCCCAAAGTTCACAACCTGGATTTTAAAAAAATTGGGAAGTGAACACACCGGAAAAAAAGATCAGAAACAATCACAGAAAATATTTGGAAGGCATAGATGGTTGAGACCTGCACTAGATTATTATGATAAATAAGGGAACTAAAATATGATTTGCCACACCTTGAAATAATACCTAAAAGCTAGGTTAGCATGGTGATTCACAATTATCTACCAATTTTTGTACATGTACTTGAAGACCTCTATCTTAAGGCTTTGGATAACATGAGTTACCTGATTCTATCAGCAAAAAAAATGTAGGTCACTAACCAATAAACATCAAAGGACCCAACAAGCAATGTATAGAATATCACATTTCAATAATCGAAGAAAAATAGACCAACTATCACACATGGATAAATTAAGACATACAAGAAATGTTGTGCATGAATTTCATTTAATCTGGGGTGGTACTCAAAGAAAGCAGAATTATCCAATTAGGTAAAATGCATGCCTGATGTTCAGAAGCCATTCAAAATTAAGACGGATGCTTCTGCTCCAGCTAGTGTGTGGTAGGTTCAATACTGTACAAAAAGAGCTCATATCCCACATCGAAGGATTAGGTCCAACCAAGATTGTTTATATGGTTGAAGAGGCCTCTCCACTCGTAACCAATTGAATTTGGGTGAGATGCTATAACATGATGCCAAAGTTGGGCCTCAGGTACTTAGTGCACCAAGTCTGCCACCTATTTGGGTTTTCCAGTATGTATGTTTATTTGTTTGTTAGCTCACAAGTAAGCATGGGCCCCACATAAGGGAGGGTGTAAGAGAAATTTATCCCCACCTTGAAAAGATTAGGTCCACCCAAGGTTAGTTAATGTGGTTGAAGGGGCCTCCCCACTCATAGCTAATTAGTTTTGACTTTAAAGCTGGATGCTCTAACAATCATTACATGCTCACAGACTAGCAGCATATACTATGAACATAAAAACATTCACCAGGTACATGCTATTTGAAGTCAAGTATTATCAAATATGGTAGATTGGGAACACAATGACATATGCAAATATAGTCAATGACGAATACGTGGACATTGACTTTGTTTCCTATCCTTGAATCGAAATTCTGTTGCAAAGAGTACAGAAGCATATAATTGCCCATTGTAGTCCATTACATATTATGCGGTTTAACAGCAAATATGATCTTTGATAGAGCACAATGGAGGAAGAGGATTCACGTGGCCAACTAGAAATAGTTGTATAAGACTTTCCTGAGTGGAGATTAGTTGTAGAATCAAATATATGAAACCACAAATGACAATAAAGAAACAGAAAAAGAAAAAAATGGAATCATCATATCTGTGCTATCCCTATTTGTAGAAAAGCTAGAATGTACATGAAAAATAAAAACATATGATTCTTGACAGAGAAAGAACATGAAATTTGTGACTCCATCATTCTTAGAATCAGACATGCAATAATATTTCGAAAAATGTCAATGTTGATAAAAAAGAAAATATAAAACATAATCAATGCAATTAGGAGTTTAAGCAAGAATGCCTGGCATTTGTAAGAAGAGTACAGTAGTTTCAGAGCTGTTATAGAATTTATTTACAGACACTGATAATGGGCATTGCTGGTGATGGTTCAACAAGTTAGTTTACTGAGACAATAAAGTAAATATAGCCAAACTGGATCATAGAAGATTCTGATGTTCTATATGAGTGGATTTTCAAACCTTAATTCTCAAGTAATTCTTCTCATCCTCCGAATTTTGCCAGGTAATAGCAGAAGCAATAAGTGAGCTCGAAGAGTTGGCTTGAAGTGTAGTATTTAAAAGAGTTGCACCATTTGACTGTACGAAAAAGCATTGCATCCAGTAACTAGGAGTTCCATACAGCTGCGAGGAGTTGAAAACAATTGCATCCGGGTTCCACCTATTGTGAAAGAGACTTCCTTTTAGTACAGTCAATGTAGAACCAAATTTGGAATGATAACAGAAGGGATTAAAGATAAAAAAAAAAAAAAAGAAAGAAAACATACCGCTTGTCATTTGCATTCACAAATAGAGGTGCATAGCTTGCCATTTTAACAACATCACTATAATAAAGGAACAAAAGGAAGTCCTCAATATCCAAATCAATCAACAGTAACTTGAAAAAAATATTAAATAACAGAACAGAAGAAGGCGTGATTACTTATATCCATGCATGAAGTGTACACACACACACACACCCTATAACTAGTTATGCTACTCTGATGAAAGTGCTTTAAGGTGCACTTTGATCTTTGGAATGCCCCATCTTAATTAGCTAACAAGCTTGAGCATCCCATCCCGAAAGTTTCTTGAACTTGCACACATACTCTTATTGAGTGACTATTGAAAACACTCTTTGGTCATGCTTAATTAGGACCAGACCATAGGTACAATAACACTCCAGATTTTTTATTATTCAAAATATACTTGTATATACGGAAGCAAAAAATCTCCTATGAAACGTAGCACCATTTCAGCAACAGGGTCAGGTTTCAAAGTAAAATACAGAGCCAAATCAACTAAATATCCCCTCTTACCAAAGAAATCATATAATACAAATTAAGGGAACATGATAAACGCATATGTTTGTTTCAGAGAACATAATGAATAATCTGTTAAACGGATATTTATTTTTTTCTTGACAAGTCAAGAAGGATTATTTTCCATAGTGAGTTTTGAGGACAATGATCTGTAATGAAGTGGACGTTTATGACAGAGTCCTGAACAACAGACCTGTTCCTTTCTAGTCCAATAAGGAATCCAGCTTCAGCCAGAGCCGCCAAAAGACTACCTCCGCCAGCATCTTTTCCAGTCACCGCATACTCACTCACAAAAGCCTGAAAGTCATTCATTGGCAATATTATCAACAAACATTGAGAACTAAGCGCAGAAATAACTGAAAAGCATATCAACACACCTTTGGACCCTTACGTGACACATGATCGAAATTGTGAGCCATAGAAAACACAGCATTTGCTTCTTTATAGACCTAACCACAGAATCAAAGAATAAGATGCTGCCAGATTGTCCAACCACTCATCCATTATTGGCATATTATATTATAAAAGTTGTGAAACATAAAGCCTGATACATATTTGATCAATTGGTGAAGACCGTGCAGTTGATAACCTTACATGATAATCATATAAATCAGTTGGGTGATCCAATTGATGATTAGACCCATCACAGTTTGAGATCACTTTCATATCCGGATAGGCACGTTTTATGGCGTCATAGAACTTGAGGTAATTTCCTGACTCAAAAAAGTAAGCATTAGCATCTACAGCATCCTTGATAATTAGCAAGTAGTCCCAATTCCAAATTGCATGCGACATTATAATTCAACTCAACTCAACAAAGACTTATCCTAATTATTTGAAATCGGATACATGAATCATGCTTCTCCAGTGTTCTATCAAGGGCAATATTTTTTGTTAAACCACAAGCTATCACATCCTTTTTTTTCTATCTTATTCAAAACTAACCATCTATGGGTATCAAATCAATCTTTTCTCACTGATAGTTTTATATCTTTCCATCATTGAAAATGTCATTGGTTTCATCCAAACAAAAGAGCAAAAAGAGAAACGTCCGCAAACAAAAACATTGATTAACAAAATAAGCATACCACGGTAATTTTTCTTTCCACAATCCTCATTCCCAATAGCGACATATCTCAAGTCAAAAGGTTCTGGGTGTCCCATTGCAGCTCGAACTGAACCCCATGTTGAATCAGGATCACCTATAGCAAACTCAATACCATCTAGGGCTTCCTACAATCAAGATGAACAACAATCAGCAGTGAAATACACTATAGCCAACATGGATACTACCGATGTTGAAATGGATGAGGAAGTTAACAACACCAGCAATATAAGAGCTTATAATATATTTGCTAGTGGCATCTATCAATTTTCTCAGGCAACATTAACATCTTTTCCCAGATGTATATGCATATTAAGGGCAACGAATTGTCAATTGAGTCATTTCCTCCACAAAATAGCACAAATAGAAAAACTCATTTATGTTCCAAAATTGCATTAGATAAGATAAATACACATTGCCGGGAAAAGATGCTTATTGCAAAACAAGTGAATACAAGTACATCAATGCTCTTTAAAAGTTCACCATCAAAATTAGTGTTCCTATTTGTATATTCACATCAACGTCAAAGTACAGGGTTCTTGGATGCTTAGTCTTATTGGAAGCAGACAGCTGGTTGTTCAAAACCACTGAAAGAACAAAGTTCACAATTAATAAGTAGTATCTATTCTAATAGCTTAAGCTTTTAGATGAAATGGTGGTTCAATATGATATCAAAGCCTAGAGGTCCCGAGTTCAAATCACATCAGGTCTCTCCCTTGTAACACAAGAAAAAACAATCTGGTTGATAGACCACCCAAAGAGGGGCCACACATGAGAGGGAGTATTGGATAAATACTTATGTTACATTCTTCTCTAACAGTTTAGCTTAAACTTCTAGAGCAGATGATGATTCCAAAATAAACAATATGGTGATACTAAGTCAAATGGCCAGATAGTGATATTAAGCTTTTAATAATCGATCTTCCTAAATTGCTTGATCAGTTCAAGTGACCATTGACCTGTAAATCAAAAGCAATAAACCAAGAGACATACTTGAACAAAAGGTAAAATGCTGGAAGTATCGACTTCATCAGTATGGCTGATTCCTGTAAATTATTGAAGGGGAAAAAGAAACATAAAAACATTCATCAAGGACATGATATTTTAAAACAAAATCCAGTTCCATAGGCGTAGAATTTGTGGCCTACCATTGTTGAAGACCCAAATTGGCAATGCACCCAAGTCCTCTGCCAGCTGCAGAAACATAATGGTAATAGAACAAAAGAGGCATATCATCAAAATTCTTTAACCGAGGCTATAACCCATTCCTTTAACCACAGGAAAGCATAAAATTTTACCTGGAGAAACTCAAAATAGCCAAGTCCATCATCAGTCCAGTACATCCAAACATCACCAAAATGTCCAGGCCTCTGTTCCCACGGTCCAATAGTTTCTTTCCAACGAAATGCATTTCTTAACCATTCACCTTCCACAAAACAGCCACCTAGCATTCAAAGATATTCTCATTTGAAATCCTCAAAGCTGTACAAACCACAAAGTCCTGACAAACTAATGACAAGATTAATATGAGCTTAGTATTTCACAGAAACAAGGTAAACTTAGATGAGATTATATTGTGCTGAGCAATACCCATACTGAAGATACCAATTTAAAGGTAGCAGAGATAAAACGATAAAACAAGGTAGACTGTATAATTGCTTTGTACAACACTTCTTTGTTAGTAGTTTATCTAACAATAATAATTCATACTGAATCTGACATTAGGCTTGTCATCCCACTTGCATTGATGAAGTAACTGCAAAGACTAAAAATGAAATCTTATAAATAGAATCAAAGATCCAACCGTTTAGGGAAACAATATAACTTCATATCAATTGCAATAAAATTGTAAAAAATTTTACAGCACAATAACCATCAAATTCACAGGAATCCTTAAACCCAACTCCTATAACCACTGAAGCTCTATATAAATTAATGAAGTTTCTGTCACATTATAGTTCAACATTCAACGTCAGAACCAGATCTCAACAAATGCAACTTCAAAAGGATCAATTCTTCAAGTCAAACACCTTAAAGAACTTCAAGAAAATTTTATTAGGTATAAACCATAGAAATACAATCAACAACACATATTTAGCTTCTAGTTAAGGCAATTTAGATCCATGGCCTTATTGTCACTAGTACATATATTTCAAATCCACATTGGGTAGATTCTATCGTTTCCTTCTCTCTTTCTTCTAACTCACCAAAACCTTTCCCCTTTTGTTTTCTTTCTTCGTAAGGTTGTTTAAAGCCAATCAAGCAACCATTTTTTACATTGCAATGAGGAGTAGAGTACATGGATCCTGTTTGATAATAATTTTGAGAATGAACATCCATAAATACCAGACAAGAGATTTTACACTAACTTGCAGTTATCCAACTCGGTCACTATTCCAAGATCTGGAGCCAGCTATTTGAAGAGAGAAGACACTGAACCCAACAAACAAACAGTTAACTATTTAAATCTAAGTTGCAACCAAACCACCCAGCACAGAGTTCTGCCATAGATCATGGATTTATCCTCTTTAACAGGTGCGGACAACAAAACATTAAAGAGAAAAGGTACTAATGTAATCAAGTTCTTTATGGTAATAATGCATTTAAGTTCTGCATGCACTAATAATTGATAAAGCATTTAATATTTCCTGGGCCCTCAATCACTTTGAATGATGAAAGCATGTAACCTACAAGTGAATTTAAGAACCGAATTCTGGCAACTACTGGCCTACTGATTCATGTTATATTACATCAAAAAGCCATAGAATAAAATTACGAGCTTGAAGCAAGTCGACCTTGACATCATCAAATGCTACAAATATATTTTTTCAGGTTGCGTAATGAAAGGGGCCTGTGCCAAGTAAATTGGTAAAAGGTTTGGGCTAACAACCACAAGGTTGTCGTTTCAAATCAGAAGCAGCAATTTCAGACTGGACCAATGGTTAGATCTATGTGTCGGGTAACCAAAAAGCTTAAACTGACAGAGAATAGGCTAATAAAGTATATCAAGCTCTCAACACCCATCCACATGCAACCCTCGCACACACATGGAGGGGGCATACAACCAAATGCATCGATATGCACAGGTAGAAAACAAACCTGGTGTTCCGCTATGCATGAACACCAGGAAAACCATATGTAGACAGTGAGCGATAAAACGAGACTTCAAAGAAACATATCCCTGATACCATGGCAATTTACTGACTACTCCACAGCTTAAAATTATTAGAACAAGTTATATCAAGCTCTCAACAATGCACACATTCCATCTTTCCCACTCTACTTTGTAGAGATCCAACAATATAATGGCCATTATGTTGCATAAAGAAGACCTACACACAAACAATCATATGGACAGAAACCAGAGAGTGTAATTAAAGATGCATCTAGATGTCATCTTCACCGTTTGAAAGGTATTATGGGTTCCTTCGGGTTGTTTGAGGCTACTCTATTTTATCCTTTGTTTCTTCTTTTATTTATTCTTTTGTATTTGCTTGTTTTATTGGAGAAGGATTCCTCATGCTCCTTCCCCATGAATACACTTTCTTCTTTCTATTTTCCTTTCTTGTCAAAGAGAAGAGGAAAATAATGAGAAACAGAATAGGAAAAGAATGAGACATTGAAAACATACTACCAGAACTGAACTCTAAGAACATCATCAATGACCACCAACTATTTGAAGTGCTACAGGAGAGCCCAAGTTGAAAACTGCCAGCAAAATTAATTGACAAATACCTGGAAATCTGATAAATGCAGGTTTCAAATCTGCAAGCATTTTAAAAAGCCCATTTCGAAAACCATGCCCCTGTGCCAAGATAACAGTAGTCAAAAGGCCTATGTTACATTTGACGATAAATGTTCCAACCTAAAGATAACCATTAACTATTTGTGAAATGAAGGTCACATGTTCTCATATAAATTAACACATTGATTCCATAACCACAACAAGTAGCCAGAGTTCAAGTTGAATTAGATAGAAAACCATAACCTTACACGCTAAAGATTTTGCCTCCAAAGTAACCAAAGATTTAGTCGATCTGTAGTTCAAAAATGAAAAGTAGACCAGTTTTCATTACTGGGTTCCAATGGCATTCTGCATCAAGTATTATCAATGTAGACCATTAAAGTTGCATTCATAAAAATCATAGCTTGCATACTCGACATATCTGCAGCAGTTGCAACTCTCTTTGAGTTTATTTTGTTCATCCTTAACCTAAGAGTGAACCAACTGGAGTTGGGTTTCATTTTTATGACCAAAATATGAAACAAGCTAATATTTTACCAGACTCAACAGTTATTGATGGACCTAAGAATTTTGAATGGTCCTGAAATGAGGTATTACATATACTATATTATCATAACAATTCCTTTACAACAAAAAAATTCTAGAAAATTGTATACATCAATATACATTGTTAGAGTGTGATATTATAGCGTAAGTTCTCTATCTCTCTCGGGTGGATGTGGGGGTGAAATGGGAGATGAAAAGGTCATTGAAACAAACAAATATCAGATTTCTGCATTAGTTTAACCCAATCAACAATCAAATGGGGACTGTGGGCCCATAGTCTATAGGGATTTGGCTCAAATTCTTCACGCAATATCATGTCCCATTCCCAGAGAATTTGGCGAGGGGATAGAACCATGTCCTGCACCCAACATGTCAAAACAGATAGCCAATGGCTCATTTTCCTGAAAAGACTTCTTTCACCCATGTTTGCAAATAAAATAATCAGATAAATATGCTAAAGTAGTTTGTAAGATTCCAAGTGCACAAAATATACAAGTGTATGATAAAATATCCAGATTCCCAGTAGATAATGAAGCTGTCCCTAAGACCTTGACTTACTGATCTTAGAAGAAAAGGTTTGTACTATTAAAACAGCATAACTTGTTGACACAAAGAATGATTAGTACATGCAAATAAAGACCAACTTACGCATACAAATAAACACGTCACATATCCCAAACAGTTAAAAACAAGTTACTTACATTGTATGTATCCAAGGGCATCATTGACACTTGATCAAACCATATAGTTCCTTTTCTAGTGGTTGTTAGTTGCAGTCTTGAACTATGATCAGTTCCTTTTGCATCCAACAGAAGTTCCACCTTTGTCCAATATGAAACATCATCAGCTCTGTATGGACAAGAATGAATTATGAAACATGCAAAAAGAAAAGTGTATTCAATCCATAGTTACGTAAAATCTACGGAATTGTATTCATGCATAAATGGTGCTCACATAACATTAGCAGTAGCCAGTGATTGTAATCCCTTTGAGCCAGTCAGCGATACAGACACATTAATTGACTCTAATGATCGCACATAGAAAACCAATTTATAAGTGTTCCCTTGTTCAATGTTCTGCAAGAAAACCAAATCAAGATGATCAAGTGGCAACAAATTAGTGAGATATCAGCAGAAACAAGTTGCAGAAGATTCTCAAAATTTATCATGCAGGATCTAAGGAGTATGTTTTATATCCATCAACAACTAAGAGCACTTGAACATAGATATTCAAACCATACAGTAACCTAATTCCTAAGACCAATAAAGCAAGAAACAAAAAACATGTTTAGAACCCAACAACATTTAACCATTATAGGTGCACAGGCTTATTCATGTTGAGCTATAGGTTGCAAACTAAAGGGCTTTCCCGGAACAATCCCATAGAGTATCTTACGGTTGTCTTGTCATTACACTTCTGTCACGAAACCAAATCTGAGAGTGAAAATTTTTCTTCTTTTTTCTGTGAATTACTTGCATTAGTGAAAGAGAAGCTATAAGGAAACAAAATTTAATGGACATCCATATATCATCACCAGAACAACACTGATAGAAACTAGTAGTGTTTTGCTTCTTACATAATTGATGCTCATCAACATGGTTTGATACGACTTAAAAACGTGTGGTTTTATTAGTGATCTGTGTTTCATCCTCTTTCTAGCTAGACTTTGAAGATAAAGCCTAACTAAATTATATCCTCCTCTTTTCCACCTGAATTAGGCAAAGGGCTTATGTTTCATCCTCCATGGAATGGAAAGTAGGTTCACTTATATCGCATTTTAACTTCTAATTAACCAATATATATAGGGCTTATAAGCTTTGATGGCTGACCCAACCAAACCATATTCTGGGTACTGCACTGAGCCAACACGACCATTTGCATGTACCATATCCATCCCCATAATGGTAAGTTAAAGATGTAACTATTTAACTCATGATTGGAAAAGGGTTCTACACCACTGACATTTGCATGACATGACCTGCATTGCACATTATCACTAATCTTTAAGGCACACTATTACTGTTGTTGTTTTGCTAGTAACACTGGCACGTACAACAACGATTAACTGATTTATGTTTGTAAAGTAACAATTGTATATGACGGAAAATGAATCTGAACATTAACCATATGCATAAATGAGCTATTTATTATCACTACTACAATCTTTTCTATTTTTTGTGCAAGTGTCCATTAGTGTTACCCACGTGGTGATGCCAACATCAATTAAGAAGAATAATCTGGACATGTTAAGGCAACTCTTACAAATGTCTAGAAGAGTCAAAAGAAGTGCCATGTCCAACACAGCATTGGCTGCTATTGAGATTGTGCTATGCTCAACCCAGATATTGTAGTAATGCCAGTGATAACTTCTTACCATGCCCCAGAATCCAGGATTATATATTCCTACTCCTCCAGGTGGACAGATATTGGTGCCGGTGCTGTTGCAGAGCACCTCCATTCGAAGTGCAACTTTATTGCGATCAAAGCATGATGAACGGTCAGTTGATACAACTAGCAATGATTCATCCCCAATTATAGTCCAAGGATCTATATTTGATGGAGTGTTCTGGCCCCCAGCTTCAAAACCTGTAACTCAGATTGCGTGAGTATCCATAACTTCAAAATTATCCAGAACAGTGAAATTCTCCAAGTTATCTTTTAGACAAAAAAACAATTACAGACCTCTAAAAAAAATTGTGAAATACTACCAGCATCTAGACTACACTTTAAATGGATCTCCTTCCACTTCGAAAAACAGGAAGAGGAATAAGTGAGAGCAAATGAAGTTTCAATGGCAAGTAATCTGCGGAGAGCAATAGGCTACCTACAAGCTGACACGTAACTCAAAAAGAATGTACATGTGAACCTTTGACTTCACCATTTGCAGTTAACTAAAGTAGGAGTGCCAACTGTCAACAAGCCCAACGGAGGTCCATATCAAAAGCAGGTGTTCTTACTTCTTAAGAATCCTTAGAAACTGCAGTGATGGTGGCTGTTCAAAATGACTCAATGCTTCCAGCAGCCAAAAAGAAAGGAAGAGGAAGAAGAAGAAGAAACAAGTTAGAAATTAACATACGAAATCGAAGGGGACTTTAGTACGTAAACCCATTGATATGCATGATGATTTAAGGGGTGCCTTGAAGAACCATTAGCCACTTAAGAAGGAAAGTAATTAAACACCACAGATATTCATAGACAATTCATGTTAGTAAACAGCCAATCCACTCTAATCCACAATGCTATCAATGACGAGTTCTTGACAGAAAAATTATACTTACATGGATACTAAAGTTTTGGACCTATATTATAGAAAAATTCACCAGGACTTATATTACAGAAAAACTCAGGAGAAGTAACCCAAATTATCTATACAGCAAAGCAAAGAACGTGCATATCTCCCAAATTCTAATTGACTTACTAGCATATATTCTAACCCTTTTTAGATGTCATTTATTTCTTATTGTATGAATTGAATAGACTTGAAAATTTAGAATTGACCTCTGTTGCTTACAAGCTCTGCCCACAACCCACCAGACCCTGCATGGTTGATCTCCTGCATGGATTATGCAAGAAGTAATTCAGGGGCGCACATTGCACAAAATCTTTATAAATCTTTGCATTCCGAAAAATTTAAAAAGTTCCAATCAAAGCAACTACAGGAGAAACTTTTGATCGACATCATGGTTTTATTCTACTAATCTATGAAAATTAGTTTTATCATAATATGCCCTCACGTAAAATATACCCAAATACAACAAGAAAAAGTTCTAAAAAAAGTAAAATCTCCAATAGTGAAATTAATCAACAATGAATCCCAAAAATGGTTTTCAAAAAGTATAAATTTCTTATGGTGGAACATATAAAAATTTAAGTAAAGAGATTAAAAATTCAAAACAGAGTACCCAATGAACATCTTTTTCTTTTCCTTTAGTCTGCTGCTTCTTCCTCCTTTTTATCCCTTCCCCTCTATACACTCATAGATACAAGCACACAAGGCACAGGATTCACAAACTTTGTGGATAAAAAATGCCTTGAATTCATTTTAGACTTAATTACTTAACTTTGTAAAAGTTTTCCACCCTTTTTTCTAAATACAGAAGATTGATCCTCACCTTTTACTTCTAAAATTACTATAAAATCTCTAGAACTTTATGATAATTCATATTTAGACCTTATAATTTTATAAAATTCCAGTCTGATCATTTGACCTGACTCAAAAAAATGTAGCTTCGCCTATGGTAACAATATTATAGTAAGTATAAGCAAGAGTTCCTTATTTGAACTAGAGGAAATTTCATAATTTTTGTGAGCAGACTAACCTCAAAAAATATACCAAACAGGGTTTCAGGTATCTTCCTTGCTGACGCCTCGGAAGCATTGACGAACAACAGTGCTGTTTGGTTTGCATCTACTTCAATGGCAGAACACTGATAGATAATGTACAGGCCAACTAAAAAGAAAAGCTGAATGCTGCATGGGGTTCGGCTTAAACCCATTTCTTACTTACAACATTCAAGCTTCCCGCCACCTATTTAAACAGAAAGAAAGGCAGTTATATTCAGTGCAATTGGCAGAAAAAAGGGAGTAAAGTAAAAACAGACTATCATCAACAATAGCTATATGGTGTCACCATATAGAAAGTATAAGATGAATGCGGCACTCATCAAATTAAAGCTCTTCAACAGTTTCGATGTCCTATTAAAGCTTAGATAAAGCAGTAACTTCTCTTCGGTTACATTTTGATCGGTCAACAGAAAAAGTTGTAAAGCATAAACAGCACTACCACCTTCCACAACCACCTGATGTCATCAATCATGCAGACACCATTGAATGGCTTTTGCTGTTATAACAACAAGAGTCAATATTGTATTTGCTTAGACTTTCCATTAGATCAATTAAATTTACATAGTGAATTCTTACAACAGCTGAAGAGGGGGGAGCGGTGGAGAGAGAGAGCTGGAAATTGGTTTGCCAACAATCCACAGGGATATAGAGAAACAGGGACAGATGTAGATAGATACAGATTGAGAGGACGAGAGACAGAGAGACAGAGACAGAGAGTCAAAATTGTACATTGCTGAGGCCATCACACTTCAATTCCTATTACAGCATAAAGTCAAAAGTGCATGCACTTAAAACCGTCCCAGACGATCATACATTTTGGCATGCTCAGATCATAATAATAGATAGACAGATAAATAAATAGGTAGGTCGATAGATAGACAATAGATAGGGGTTGAGAGAGATAGAGAGGTATACGGATGGAATCAACGAGGAAATGAAACAGGGTAGTAGACAGATTAATACAATCATGATTAATTACGAGAAAATCAATGACGAACTTCATAAACAAACATAGATATCTATAAGGATGATACTAGGTATTCAAAGACTATGAAATTTACTCCAAAATGGAAAATTTATCAGTACAATTGGGTTCACTATCAACATTTACCTGATAGGAAAAAAAACCCAGAAAAGTCTTTCTAAGATTGTGTTCAGTATGCTTCCGTAAGTAGAGAGAGAGACACACACATAGAGAGATGAAAGATTTGTTTACTGTCGAAGAGAGATGCTATAGATATAAGAAGAGTGGGCAGTATTCAAAGAGGTCAGTGGGGGTGGTTATGACTCGGGACCGGTGTTTTATGTGTTCTTCAGTTTGTTTCTTATCAAACAAACCGGGTCTTACCTTTGCTTTCACGTAAGCAATCTCCGTGACTTTCGGCAACAGATATTTAAGCCCACGCGACGAGTAAAAAATTAATATAATGGTGATATTATATTATTAAAATTTAATTATAAAACTATAAATAAAAAATATTATTATTATTAGATTTATTTTTATCTATTTATAATCTTCTAATTGAATTCTAACACTATCCATTTTAGTGTCATTATTATTTAATATTTTTCTCGGGACAAGTCTTTAAAAGTCATTGGTGGCCCAACATATTTGGGGTCTAGGCAAAAATTTTAAATTAAGTCTTATTAATATATTTTATAATAATATAAATAATTGTCAACAATTAACAAAAGTCAAATTTTCGATCAAATATAATTAAGTTAATTTTCTATTGAAAATAATGCGAAAAAGAATGAAAATTTAAACTAACTAACAAAATAAAATTTTTCAGAATAAATATTGATGATGCACAAAAATGGTTTTGCACACCACCTGTCAAATGTATATAATAAATGCAATGGAATCAATGAGAAAATTAAAGAAGACACAATTTATAGTGGTTCGGTCAATTCGACCTACGTCCACTCTTCAATGGCTTCAGTTGTCAGGTATTTTATTGATTCAAAGGTATGGAGAATAGAGATACAAGTTTTGAGAGAGAGAATGGAGAATCAAAGAAATAGTAATCTCCGGTAGTCGGTTCGTCCTCTGTAAATCTTGGTGGGGCGTGACATTCATCTCCTTTTTCTACCAGATTGGAGCTATTTTATAGCAGCTAAGAGATCATTCTTGTGGAGATCATGACATATCCTCAAGGCTTCTTTATCGCAGCTAAAAGATTATTCTTGGTGGAGATCACGACTTATTCTCAACGGAAGGAGGAGGTTGGGGAGCTCTTCATGAAACGTGGTCAAAGATTGGACTGTTTCCTTCGGTGGTGCAGATAAGCTTCCCGTGCTCTCCTCTTGATGACGTGCTAAGCAAAAAGTCTAACCGGTCTTGGACTGTCTTGGACTTGGTGGATTTGGACCGTTTCCTTTGGTGGTGCAGATAAGCTTCCCATGCTTTCCTCTTGGTGACGTGCTAAGCAAAAAGTCTAACCGGTCTTGGACTGTCTTGGACTTGGTGGAATCAAAATTAGGTTGGGCTCCTCAACTGGGGTTGGATTTTAACACATAAATTGGACTATTTGGGCTTAACCCATCATTTGCCCCCCAATGCCCCATGTCCAAGGAGACTTGGAGAAGGAGGCATTGATTACATTTTTTTTTTTTTTTTTTAAACTTCAAGTCTTTCCCACTTTATTTTAAAGAAGGCCCATAATATTCTGTTTGGCCTTTTTGTTTTGAAAAGGACTTATAACTTTCTATTTGACCACTTTATTTTGAAGAGGGCCCATAATTTTCTATTTGACACTTTATTTTGAAGAGGGCCCATAATTTTCTATTTGGCTTTTTTTTCTCTTTTTGAAAAACCCTAGACTATAAATATAGTCTTCTTCTTCATGTTACCCATTTCACTCATTTTTAAGGTTGAGCACCCACCTCTTGAAAACCTTGAGAACTCAAGTCCTACCCATTTTGTTGAAGTCAAAGTGTGTTCTCCTTGAATCCTTTCAAGAGTGTGATTTATTCCTTGCTAGTTGAGCTTCTCAAGTGAACAATGTCGATTGAAGAGGGAGTGGTGGAGGTTGAAGAAAGGGAGGAAGTAGGCACCATTTTGGAGAACTTGGAGGCTAGTTTTGAGCATTCGAATGCTGTCTTGGACAGCTTTGGGGCTGAAAATGAAGGGCTGGACAGCGAAGGGGAGATGGGCAGCGCGAGGAGTGGCTTGGGCAGCGGCGCACGATTGGGCAGCGTAGGCGCGCGACTGGGCAGCGCAGGCGCAGGGCAGCGCAGCGCGCGCGGTGGGGTGGGCGGCTGCCTAGGCTCTGCTCCTCCTGTCCTGGACAGCCCAGGCGCGCTGGGCAGCTGCCTGGGCGCTGGCCTTGCTGTCCTGGACAGCCCAGGTGCGCTGGGCAGCAGCCTAGCTGCTGCTTCTGCTGTCCCGGACAGCTTCAGATCTGCTGCGCTGGGCGGCTTTGGAACGCTGGGCAGCAGCATTTTTCCATCAAGGGGCGCTGAAAATCAGTCCAAGGTTCATCAGGGAGAGCTAGGCAGTGGCCTGGGAGCACGGGCTGATCCGGTTCCACTCGAGGCGCTGATTTGGGCGCCTTAGGTGCTGATTTTTGCGCCGAAAATTCTGCTTTGCGCAATTTTGAAGGGCCAAGCACCCTTCAAGCTACTGGGCAACTTTGTTTTGACGAGCAACAGCAGTCAGGCACACTTTCAGGCGTTGGGCTAGACATTGCAAGTAGTAAGGAAGCTTTGGGTGCTGCCCTTGATGATCAAGCCCCTATTGTAGCTCCCCCGATTCAAGTTCCTCAAGACTCTCCCAATGGTGATTTGGACTACTCCTTAAGGCCCCGGAAGAAGAAACGCAAGAGCAAAGTGGGACTTGATGATGACGGGTCTAAGGTGAGCACCTTTTCTAGTTTGTTCCGCTTAGATGAAGATATTTCAAGGCTTGTTTTTACTTATCGCATCCCTCCGACCGTGTTGTGCCGTCGGGCTGAGTTGGGCGAGTTTGCTTGCGATGACTCTTCCGGGGATATTGTTGTCTACGAGGAGATGCTTGAGGCTGGGTTAAGATTTCCCATGTCCTCCCCCATTTGTCGTGTTTTGCATTACTTTTCCTTGACTCCGGGGCGACTAGCGCCCAACGGTTGGAGAGTCCTGCTCGATTTTCTTGCATTATGGAGAAAGGTGCACCACGAGGATGCTTCCCCTATGGAGTTTCATGCAGCATATAATTTGAGCGAAACCCCTACACCAAATAGGGGATGGTACTATTTTACCGCGCGGAGTGGTACAGTGCTTACAGGAATGCGCTCTAATTGCGGCGGCTAAAATCTTGTTTCTTCTTTATTGGTGGAGAATGGGCTTCAGAAGCCGACAGAGTTTCGGTGCCAACACATTGGGGTGCTGCTAAAAAACCCGGTATGCTGCACACTTCTTCTTTTTCCTTTTTTTTTTTTTGTGTGTGTGCTCACTTTTTCCATGCAGATATACCTGTGCTTTCCCGGGACCAGGAGTGGAAATTGGAGGCTGTCAAAGCTTGCCCTTGTAAAGATTTGGGAGTTCTCCTGCCCAAGTATACTAGAGCTGTAGCTCCATCTCAGAAATCTGGCAGCTCCTCTTCGAAGAAAAAGGGTGAGCTAGTTTCCTCTCCCTTTTTTTTTTTTTTTTTTATCTAACCCTTCTCTACTCTTGCAGCAAGTAAGAGGGTGGTGGTGTCCCGTTTTTCTAGCAGGAGCCCTCCTTCTTCCAAAGTGACAAGGACGGATGATGCCCCCCATGTGGCTTCCACGGTGGCTCCTTCTCAACTGGCAACTTCTCCAACTGCTGCTCCAGAATCTTCCTTGCCAGGCACATCTGTTCCACCTTTATCCTCTCCTCGTGCTACCCCTCCTTTGTCTCCTCCTTGTTCAGGAACTTCTACCCAAGTGCCGATTTGGGCTGGTTCTATGATGGGGAGACCAGCAGCTATCAGGGCAAGGCTTGGGAGGTTTGTGTTTGGGCCAGAAGTTTCTGAGCTTAGCGCTTCGGGCACTGATAATATCGTCAACACGTATTTGGAAGGTCTGGCTCAGGTAAGGGTCTGCTATTTCCCTTTCTCCAGTCGTTTCCTGTGTTTTTGACTCTTTTTTTTTTTTTTAGGTTTCGACTTCCTCCATCTGCTTGCTTTCGAGGGCCTATAATCAAGACAAGCTGAAGCTGGATCTTAGCCTTGTGCAGAGGGAGCTTATTACTGCTCAGGAGAGGATTGTCGAGCTTGATTCTGAGCTTTTGGTGACCCGTGAGAGGGACGTGCTCCGGGAGGGTGAACTTGTGGCAGCACATGAAAGGTTTTCTAATTTTGAGTCCGAGCTTCTGGCGGCCCGCGAGAGGGACGCGCTCAGGGATGGTGAGCTTGCTGCAGCCCATGAGAGGGCCACTAAGCTAGAGGCTGAGCTTTTGGCAGTCCACGAGAGGAGCGCGCTCAGGGATGGTGAGCTTGTTGCAGCCTATGAGAGGGCCACTAAGCTAGAGGCTGAGCTTTTGGCAGTCCGCGAGAGGAGCACGCTCAGAGAGGCTGAGCTTGTAGAGGCCCATGGGAGGGCCATGCTCAGAGAGGCAGCTGTTGCAGAGGCAAAGTTGACGGCTGCTCGGGAGAGAGTTTCCCGTGCTGAGGAAGACTTGGAGAATGGTCTTGCAGATGCTTTTATTGATGGTTTCGAGGATCTCCGAGGGAAAGTTTCTACCGCTTTCCCTAATATTGACTTCTCACCTTTCGTGCCCACTGACGACAGTGATGAGGGGGGATCTGATGCTGTTGATGACAATGAGGAGGAGGTGGGGGACGACCATGAGAGCAGTTAGAGTGTTTAGGACTTTTGATTTTTTTTTTTTTTTTTGAAAAGGCGGTATCTGGCCTTATTTTTGTACCGATACTCCTTTGAAATGAAATACAGAAAATCTTTTTGGAGTAAATGGCATAGAAAATTTTATTAATTTATTGCTTATAAAAAGCGATATTGGGTAATAATTCCCAAAAAAAAATACATTGAAATCTTGGGTAACACCCCTAAAAATCAAATCAAGTCCCAACTTCTACTGCTTTGATGCTCTCAAGGTGTCATTGGTAATACCTTTTCAAGTGCTCTGCATTCCATGGATGGAGTAAAACTTTTCCCTCAGAATCTTGGATTTTGTAGGTGCCTGGTCTCACTACTTCTGTTACGCGGTAGGGCCCTTCCCAATTTGGTCTCAGCTTCCCTTCGCGTGCATCTTTTGTAGCGAGGATTACTTTTTTGAGGACCAAATCCCCAGGTTGGAAAGAACGGGGCTTCACCCTCGAATTGTAGTACCTTGTCATGCGCCGTTTATACTCCGCGTTGCGGACTACAGCCATCTCCCTT